AGGATACTTATCGTCCCAGCTGAAACGATCAAATTCCTGCTCAAATGATTGGATATTAGTTAGGTACCTATCTTTGTTAGTTGCCAAGTACAACCATGTTGCTGCCCATGCCACATCATCTTGCAACATAAATATTATTACATATTTCACCATATATTTATTTCTTCGCCCGATCGAAACAAAAAAAAAATAAATAAAAGAAAAAGATGTCTGGAGTTTGCACAAAGTAAAGTACCTTATATCCCGAAGAGCGAATTAAGCTACCTACGTAATAACCGAGAGAATCGCTATACTTTCCCAGATAATCCAACGCAAAGTCCATCACTTTTTCAACAGTCTCCAAAAGCAGATCGTTATATGTGTTCGCCTATATTTTTAAAGCTCGACCGCAAGTGTACGGCTTCACTCGTAGTATGTGGCAAGCAAGGTCGTATCCCAATAGACCAAACAACCAATTAATCAAGTACTAGATAATGAAAGTGCCAATTTTATTTAGACGACCGAATATGAGATTGATTAACTAAACTAAGCAAATAAATCAAAAGATAAGAAATCAATAGCAAGAAAACAACTAGAAAAACACTTAAGGAGAATATATGGGAATGGTAGATTCTAAGACTATGGGTTCAATTAATAGTTGGGTTCCTTCAGATATATCGCAATTAACTATTTTCTTTATCTACCCTATAAGATGATCACCAAATTAGCCTATCGTCCCTCTCGAGATCGATAAAACCGTAGATTAAATCACATATATTAGCGTCTCCACTCAACACATGCAATTCAACTCCAGAAAGATTAAAAGACCCAAAATCCTCACAACTATCTACTAATCTCTCGATTCAAGCAAATAAATTGTGTCAAATATTAAAGATCTAATATTGAACTCATCTCTCGAATTATGAACAATATCATCAAACATGTAAAAGCAGTGGCCAATTGCAATTCATGAAATAAGCACGAAATATTTGAATAGGGTTCAAAAGAAGACGATCAATTATAATAAATCATCAGAAATCCCAAACTATTAATCTACTACCATGTCTTAGAATCAAAGAAGATTAGCTACTCATGTTTGAAATCAAATACATAGACATATTCAAAATCAACATGAGAAAACAAGTTCAAAAGATAGAAAGAAAAACTAGTAAGCTTGTCGTCGATCTTCTCTTCTTCCCAATTGCTTCTCTTGCGTGTTCTCTGACTCTCTCCTTGCGTAATCACGTTCTCCCTCAGAATAGGGTTAATATGCTCTTTTATAATGTCCAAAACCCCTCTTCTTATCCAAAAAGGTAAGCTTTAAAAGTCTGCCTGCGCGCGCGACACGACCAGACAGGCCCGTGTCACGGGTCGTGTCAGGTCCCTGAGCTTCGTAATCTTTCTGTTGAGGTGACATGGGTCGTGACACGACCTGGGAGCCCATGTCACAGGTCGTGTCACACCACATCATGCACATTTTTGTCTGTTTTGCTCGTTTGTTCCATTTTTCTCATCCGTGCATCAATCCTTCATCATCCCGGGGGTCCTAGGTACTCCACGTGCACCTCCAATAGCCACAAGCTCTACAAATATGTGAAAATATCTACAAAACAAGCACGCGTAATACCTTTCCAACAGAATTAAAACACAAATATGCAATTTATACACCAATAATGCAACAAATAAGCTCTAGATACTATATGAATATGGTGTAAAATCACACACGAACAATATGTACGAAGTACTTTCTCAAAAACGATGGAGGCAGCTGTCAGAGCAGCAACGATTTCGCTCGCCAGGTCAGATCTCGGATTGTCGTTGGACACCCAATATGCGGTTCGGTCAGTGTCCATTTGCTCAGGCCTCTCCCAACACGCATGGTCCTTGTACGCATCCCCAACTCCCGCGTACAGTATGTTGGGTGTTTTTCGCGAGCACACTTTCACTTGATTTCTGCACGAGCCTTGTACAACTGTTTGAGATTGTTCAATTTCTGCTCGTACCGGATCACGCTCCAACACAGCATTGCGGTCGTGAAGGCCATCGGGAAATTGAACTTCACATTGTCTCCTGCGTCATAGTACCCTCATGTCAAGTCCACCTGGACAGGTAATGACAATAAAATAAAAATAATAATACTAATAGTATAATAATAATAATTAATCCAATTATATACAACTGGATATTATAACTAACTAAAGTTTGTTGGTTACATTATTTGAGCTACCGTCCAAAAGTCCAGAGTGGCCTCTCCATTTGAAATGGTGGTTTTATGGAAGTTCGCCGGATCTCTAGGCATCGAAAAACAGAATGGATTTGGCGAGGGTGTCGGCCGAGGGATACTAAAATTATTGATAATAACACCACCATAAATGTGATGGTGGTGTTATCCGAATATGCTGATGACACATGAAAATGATTTAAGACAGATTAAATGTTCAATGCAGGGCTTATATTCAAGTTTATGGTAATTGCCAATTACACATCGACATTTTTTTTTTATTTTATTTTTTTCTTTTGATAATCGGTGACGTCTTCTAAAATTGTCATCTATTAATATATAATAAGAATTAACATAATTCACTTTTAGAAACTTTTTCCCGCCATGAGCATTAAATACACCCTATTTATAGTAATTCGTTATCAAAAAAATA